TAAGCTGATTTACTTTTATCAAAGGGATCTAGCTAAGTGTGAATAAATGTCAGTTTAAAAGCATTTGTAAACATTGCAGTTACAATGAAGAAAAAATAACATTTCAATGATCAAAGGCTGTTCTACTCGTTTGGTGAAACCAATGTAAACTCTCATGGCAGGCATCGTACTGTTAGGAGAAAAATATTAAGACAGTGGCACTGTTATTGTGCTTTTGGATATTTCTTGTAGGCCACGCAGTACCATGGAAAAAAGAAAAATAAAGCTGTATCAAGAAAAAAAATAGTTTTTTCTTTTGCCATTACACCCGCTGGCTGTTAATAAATTGATCATAGTGTGGGTTAGAAGTAATAGTCTGTGAGCATATTCATCTGTATTCATCTTATTTCATTACTTTCTATTCCACTCTCCACAATGTCATTTTTATACATTGAAAAAAGCCCTTCTAATTCACTTTCTGCTTCTGTAAAAAATGAAGTGCAACAGTTTGGAAAATAAACAATAGCAATACCTTGTGACACCTGTGGATTTTCTATGTAACCAGTTATCTCACTTAATCCTGCTGCAAATGAATGCTTATAGATCCATGAAAAAAAAAAGATAAGTCTGTGCTACATGCTGTGTAAGTAAGCATCATAACATTTATTCTAACAGTAGGTTCTTATTTTCTCAAATCTTTTCAAAGGCAATGATTTATAATATTTAAAATTGAATACATGCAATGACATAGCCATTTCCAGCCTGTTCCCTGTGACTTAATTGTTTGCTTCATGAGTGTTCATAACTAGATAACATTTTGTGCACATGTTACAGGATTGTCTTCTTCAAAGAAAATAGTGAGAGGTGGGAAATTCACTGTACTGAAATGTAATTCCAGAGCAAAATAACCCCTCAACAGAAAAGCATTATGAGCAATGTTTATTCTATTTACCCAAGAGCAGTAGTTTGACTGTCCTGGCTTCCCTCGCTGCATCTGCCTGGAGTTTCTTTTCCAGTTCCCTGGATCTCCTGGCTGATTCCTTGCTCTCAGAGCTGGCTCCACTGCCCATCTTGAGGTGTTAAAAATCCTCTGTTTGTCCAGCTGATTTGCTTCTTATCAGACTAGTTGCTTTAATTCAGAAGAAGGTCAACAGCCTGTGCTTCAAGAAAATGTAAAAATCCCATTCAACTTCTGGGTTCAGCCTTAAAATCAAACAGTCTCTTTTCACTTGTCACATGATATGGGGATGCTACAGCCAAGGATTGATATACGGATGTAAAAACGTACTATTATGATGTCATAGAATTAAAATGATGCGTTCAAGAGCAAAACCAAGGTCGGGATAGATCTATCTCCTTCTTCAGACAGGTTCCAGCTTTACATGCTTCAAAGAAATGTGCAGAATATCTTCAAACAATAAAATTGGGAATAGCTCAAGGAAAAATTTTTCAGCTTGTGAATCAGTGTTGGTGCCCTGAAGCAAAAGCAGGTTTATATGTCTTCAAAGCATTTGCATATTTGTTATTTTTAATCTTTCTCAGTGGTTGTAGCTCTAAATATATGTATTCTTTATTTTTAAATAACAGAATTTGGTTTTACATAATTAAGACATATTTTGTTTTGAATTATTAGTTAACATGCAGAATGTTTGCTGCATTTTCATATTATGGCAAGTGCATTTATTTTGTTGTAATGGTAATGGGTAATTTACTGCATTTTGTAACATTTTTGGGATACTTTTGTGCAGCCATTCCTTGATGAATGTCATAGTCTTTTCTATTCTTCTTTGGTGTTGTTAGCAGTTATAAGTTTTGGCTGACGGCACCATAAGATTTTTGTGTAAGAAAGGACACAGGTCAGATTCTCCCCACTGATGTAATAATTTATTCTTAGTTTCTTCATAATGCAATAGTAATATAGAAGTATTTTATGCAATATGGTGGAAATATTACTTTGCATGTCATGTCAGCAGTATATAGAGAAAATATACTCTACTGTAATTTGGTGATAGTGTATAAGAGTAGAATTACTGTCAGGACTAAAAGATCCAATATACTTTGGTTTTTGTCCCTTTTCTTCAGATGAAGAATTTCAATAAAATAAATATTATTAGTGTGCAACACTATAGTTAATCATAATGTTATACATATTCACTTTATAAAGTATTTCAATTATATAAAATGTACAAACATAGAAATGATATTACAATTTTAAAATTATTGATTAGTAATAGTCACTAACGCTCTGACTTTACAGTATGTAAGCTTATAAACTTTAGCCTGGAAATAATGTTGAAGGGAAATATATGCATACAGCTCAGCTTCAGTGATGTTAGACGTATTTTTAGGCCAGAAGATAAACGAGGAAGAGGGCCAAAAGCAAAGCATTTAACTCATCCTGTCCAGGATGAGTTAAGCAAAGCAGCTTTCCCACAGCAGAAGTAGGTGGACCCCAGATGTAACAGGAGGGCAACTGGTACTGGATGGGGAAGGTGGGAGTGAGAGGAATAAAGATCACCAGTGGTACTAATGAGTTTTGTGCCATTAGAGCAGGAGGCAGCTGTCTTCTCAGAAAAGACAGGTCCTTGCTCTGCTCGTCCCATTCAATAGTGTCTTCTCAGACTTGAAATTAATACCACATACTGCAATAAAGATCTGAAGTTGTGTTTTTTCAGTACATGCTTCTCAATCAGCAGAGCTGGAAGCCCTGTTTTCAGTCTCCTTGCACTGCTTTGCCAGAAATGAGTAATCAGGGCTTGTTAACAGCTGAATTTTTGCATATAAATTTACAATGCAAGAAAATGGTTTTTTTAAGCCTGTATTCCTACTTTGTTTATTCTTTAACGTAGGCTAAAATAAGATCTTTATGCAGACATAGTAACAACTGGTTTGTTTAAAAAATGAAAATAAGCAACTTCAGAAGTATGATATCAGTGCCAGGTGTTGGTCTATCCAAACTGTAGGCAAGTCCAGTGCTCCCATGGATTTCAGTGGGTTTGAAAAGCAAGTCTGTTTGTTTGAGCATTTCTGAACACTAACAGAATTTACAAATTAACTGATATAGTCGCAAATCACAGAGAAGAACATAATCTCTAGATTAAGGGCCCGTTTCACTTCAGAGTTGTTCCAGGCATATACTAGTATAACTCTATTCATTTTGCATTTAATTTTTACAGTATCAAACTGGAATAGTGTAATGGTAAACTAGGTCCCATTCTGGGACCATACTGGGAGAAAATGAGTGTAAATAAATCAAGATGAAAGCTTTACATCATTTTTCCTAGATGGAAAGCAATGGAAAATCAAATGTACGTCCCATATCATGTTTCCTAACATTCTCTGTTGCTATAATGACTACATACAGGAATTGGCTTTAAATAAATAGGTGTCTGATACAAGCAGGCTGTAAACAGACTGTGTATAGAAATAAAGATAATAACTTCATAAACATGCAATATCTCTAACATCTTTTCCATTTGATTTGCTCACTTCTGCCTTCAAACTCTTAACTAAATAGTTTAGTGAAAAAACCACAGCAATCTGTTTCTGTTTCTCTCGAAAGTGAACAGGATTCTGTTCTGCTTTGGACATCATCATCATCACTAACTATATTTTGATTGAAGAAGTTTCTGCTAATGGTTAAGCCGGAAACAATAGACACAGCCTTACAGGGTTCAGTTGAATCTAAAATGTTTTGTGATATCTTTTCTCTACCTCTTCTAGGTGCAATAATAAAATTATGGTCTCTCCCTGCGTCTCGTCTATTGTATCAGCCATGTATATTTGATCTGGAAGTCTTTGAAAGCGACTAAGTCTGGAAAATGTTCCTTTGAAATGTAGTAACTTGTAAAGAATATTAGTTTTGTATTATTAGAGTTATTTCTAGTGATGCACTCTAGGTGGTGCTGATAATATAGAGTGTAAACTAGAGGCATGCTGTAGCCAGTGAGAGTTACAAGAGACTTTCTGGGAGGCTTTTTCATGTGATCTGTTCAGAATTCATAGATTTGGGATTCTGGATTCCAATTCCAAATTTTTATTTTGGAACTTGTATTAAAGGTATACTGGTTTGGGCTTTTTGTTTGGCAAATAATATTGATTGTTCTGTTAATTTTTTCTTTCAATTAACTTAGGTTTTCCTTTTAAGTTTCTTCTGAAAGTACTGTACACTTCCCAGTCAAAGAAAGTGGAATAGCTTAGGAAATTCACACCTTCTAAGTTTTTTTTCTCTTATTTTGCATTTACAAACTGTTCCGACTGGAGTCTGTTCATCTTTTCCATGTTTCATTATAACTAATGCTTTCCCTTTTCCCTGATAAAATTTGGAGGAATGACATTGAAAAAGGAGGAAGTTTTAGTAAGAATAGAATTCTCTAAATTTAGGAACTTTCAATACATTTCCTTCAGTAAATAAAGGAAGCCTGAAAAATCTTCAGTACAATGCCTGTTACAATCAAAGGAAACTCTTCTGCTCTTTCAGTTGGCTACTAAATTGCTTCCGATGCACAAGAAGAAACAAAACAGCTCCGAATTGCTCTGTTGCTCGTTGGCAACATTTTAGTGGAGAAAAAAAAGTTTCCCTTACACCCTGAACGTTGACAAGCCCATCTAGACTTTTGTAACTACTGATGTGCAGAGATATCTGCTGAATGACCAATATTCTAGAGACATAACAAAGCAAGTACAGAGACTCCATATATGCTCCCAGTCAGCACTGATATTAGCTTGGATCCATGGCAAGCTGCATTAGCTTGGCACAAAGCCAGAACTTTTGAAACCTGTTAAGAGTCATGGTTTATTACCTCTGGCACTCGGCCAGAGTCATGGGGCTGAAATGTTTGTGGATCCAGGGTACTATGTCCACACAGGGCCATGTTTCACTACGTGGTGTTTAGTTTGGATTGTCGTCTGCCTTGTGCAGTGTAGGCATGCCCATACTGCTTGACTGCTATAGGTGATATACCAGGTGGATGTTAATCCTTCTGTGAGCTTTTCGGCTCTCAGACTCACAAGAACGTAAAATGGACCTGGAAGAAGCTGCTAGGGTTGACTTCAGAAGTGGCCATCTATCCTGGCAGTAAAGTCTAACAGCTGGAGAACCTTTGGGGACTAGATTGGCCATGGAGAGCTTCTCAAGCTCTCTCTACTCTTACCAGTCTGATCCACTTCCAAGGTATTGTGGCTCAGTCACAAAACTGAAAGTGTTGAAGCTTGAGTATGATGTGAAGCCCACAAAAAATTGTCCAGATAAGTACCTAGCTCCTCTTAAGAATCATATCCATATATCTCAAGCCAAAGGGAAATGTATCAGTCTCAACACCAACTGTACTGTGGCCCTGAGATATCTGGCATAGACCAAGTAAATGTGACAATCATCAAACTGGTGTTACCGGCCAGGTTTGTACTACTGTAAATGTTTATAGAAATGACTGTGGGAGGCTGAATTAATCCTTCTGTTATTCATCGTTCTGTTTCCATGATGGAAGCAGACCTTCCAGTGTCACTGACAGCAGGTTCTCCAGGTTCCCTGGTTTTCCCTGTAGCACTACTGCCATCCGTTCTGCCAGTGCACATATGTGGCACACTCACTCCTGTTGACTCAAGGGTAGGCAGAGCTCAGACTTCCTCTGTTTCCTTCTGGGGAATCCAGACATACTCCTTTGGGCACATTACATTTTAGAATTTGGCCACAAGATTTGATGGAGAGATGACTATTTAGATCTTACCATGCTACTACCCTCTGTTCAGATATCTTATAAGATAAGGTGACTTAATCAGGAAAACCCCTCTGGACTGTCTGTCCCCTCAGCAGAGGAATATATTGAAATTTGTGGTTGCAGATCCAAGTTCACAGGTCGGTCTCCTGTGTTCTATTCTGGAGAAGCATTAGTTCTGTTTGTGAATGTGCACAATTATAAAGTGGGATCCACAGAGTTTACTGACAGAGAAGGTCAAGATGTTGTGGGATGGAGGTCCATGGTACATATGGTACATATGTTGGAGGAGTCAAAACAGAATACACTGACGTGAAAGTCAGGTGATACCTGAGATATATCATTCACCAGCAAGG